ATTTATTTGACAGAGAGAGAGATCACAAGCAGGCAGAGAGGCAGGCAGAGAGAGAGAGAGGAGGAAGCAGGCTCCCTGCTGAGCAGAGAGCCCGATGTGGGGCTCGATCCCAGGACCCCGGGATCATGACTTGAGCCAAAGGCAGAGGCTTAACCCACTGAGTCACCCAGGTGCCCCTGGGCTGGGATATTTATTGCTTGTTTGGTATCAGTCAGGGAGATGTGAACCTTTGAAGAACTGAGATAGCTGTATTTTATTTTATTATTTATTTGTTTAGAGAGAGAGAGCAAGTGAGAGAGCACGAGTGGGAGGGCTAGAGGGAGAGGGAGAGAGAGAATCTCAACAGATCCTGCCAAGCATGGAGCCTGATGCAGGGCTTGATCCCACGGCCCTGAAATCGTGACTATGGCTGAAACCATGAGTCGAATGCTCAACTGATTGCACCATCCAGGTACCCCGAGATGTTTGTATTTTAAACCCTGGTGTGGTTCCTTTTCAGTCTCCCTTTCTGGTTCCCCATAAAATCCAGTGCTTTCTTGTGACTGAGCTCAGTCCCAGGCTCAGGCCATTGTTCTCTTCCTTCCCCACATCAAATTTTAGGTGGATCTCTGGGTTAGCATTAGATGGCTTTTACTTATGACCTGTTCAAACTTTGATTTCATTTCCCGCAGTAATTTTGCAATATCAACACAACCAGAAAAACAACAACAACAACACGTTAAAGCAATTTTATTCTGAAACCAAAACAAAACTTGATTGCTTCTTGTTCAGTTTTTTTTAGGTCTTAATAAGAGATGGATGAGTTCAGCTGATATGGCAAGTAAAGTTATTCTTGCTCTTTGTCCAGGATATATTTTCTTACCTCACTTAGCATCAACTTGGCAAACTCATTAACTTAGCCATTCAGGGGCATCTGGGTGGTACAGCTGGTTAAGTGTCTGTCTTTGGCTCAGGTCATGATCCCAGGCTCCTGGGACTGAGTCCTGTATTGGGCTCCTGGTTCAGCAGGAAGCCTGCTTCTCTCTCTGCCTGCTGCTCCCCCTGCTTGTTGCTCTCTTTTTCTCTGACAAATAAATAAATAAAACCTCTTTTAAAAAATTAAAAAAAAAAACCCAGCCATTCAGTTTGCTAAGCTAGATATCCTAGCTACATCCTTAATCCCCACATCCAAACACTTACTAATTCTGTCAACTGTCCTTTTAAATATCTCTCAAATATGTCCCCTTCTTCTCACCCCACTTGCTGCTACCTTAGTTTAAGCATTTGTCATCCTTCATCTACGTTACTGTAATGCCCTCCTAATTGAGCTCAAGAGCAGTTGCATTTCCCTTGAGTTCAGTCTCCTAAATAGTGACTCTTCTCTATGGAACGTCCTTCACTGGCTCTTCTGGGGGAGATCTATGTCAGATTGTCCCAGCATGGCCTACGAGCTTCTTAAGCACTGACACTAACTGGATCTCCTGCTGCTTCTTGTTCAACAACACTCAAACTGCCTTCTTTCCTAGATGGCTCTGGTTCCCTCTTATCTATTGGCCTTTGACTTTGTTTTTCCTTTGGTCAGAATGTCCCTCGTCCCTTGCCTGCCAACTAAACTCCTCCCCTACTGGTTTGGAAGCTGGAGTCAGTCCTTCTCCATTCAGCCTTCCCTCTCATAGAGTGCAGGCTGTGAAAATCATCCCATCTGCTCCCACTGTATCCAGAAGATAGCAACATCAACAGTGATGACGGATCTCAGGGTAGAAATTTTAAAATAACTGTTGATGTTTATTGAACACTTCTATATGCCAGTATCTGTGCTTGGGCTTCCTAGGTATTAATAACGCATTTAATCCTTACAATGACCCTGTTAGGTAGGCCTTTTTATCACCTCATTTTATTATAACACTTGGCCTGTTGTCTTTTTTCATTTATTCATTCGAGAGAGAGTATGAGTTGGGGGAGGGACAGAGGAGGAGGGAGAGGGACAATCCGACCCCATGCTGAGTGTGGAGCCCAATGTGACACTGGAACCCAGGACCCCGAGACCATGCCTAAGCTGAAACCAAGAGCCTTTGGCTTTAACTGACTAAGCCACCCAGGTGCCTCAACACTCATCCCATTGTTTTGAAATGGACTAGTTATTATTTATCTCCCTAATAGACAGTTGTTCTTATTCATCTTTATATCCTTAGCAACTAGAACAAGTTTTATTTATTTATTTATTTATTTAACAGATCACAAGTAAGCAGAGAGGCAGGCAGAGAGAGACAGGAGGAGGCAGGCTCCCTGCTGAGCAGAGAGCCCGATGCGGGACTCGATCCCAGGACCCTGAGACCATGACCTGAGCTGAAGGCAGAGGCTTTAACCACTGAGCCACCCAGGTGCCCTAGAACAAGTTCTGTACACATATTATTTGGAATATGGGGAAACTAACATTCACATTTAACCAAGCTTTAATATCAAGGATTGAGTGATGTGAGATGTTCAGGCCAGTGGGGGAAGAGGATCGGAGTTTGGGCATAGGGTTTCCTTCCAATCAAATTAAATAGTTTTCCCCCTTGAACTAAATGGCACCGCCATCTTTCTACTTGCTTAAGAAAACAACCTGGTAGTCTCCTTGTTTACTGTATTTCTTTACACCTGTACCTCAGAAAAATATCTTGAAATTTTTCCACTTCTATTTCCATAGCAGCTACCCGAATTCAGGTCACCGTCATCTATCCCACAGATTCGTGCTGTAGCTTCCTACCATTCTCTGGCTTTTCCCTGTTCCATTTCTGCTCTCTTCCAAGTTATACTCTACAAGATAGGTTGATTTAAAAAACAAGACGGTGTGTGTGCGTGCGCATGTGTGCGCGCGCGAACCCGCATGGTTCAGTAGGTTGAATGTCCGACTCTTGGTTTTGGCTCAGGTTATGACCTCAGGGTTGTGAGATTGAGCCCAGAGTCGGGTTCCATGCTCCGAGGGGAGTCTGCTTGAGATTCTCTCCCTTTCCCTCTGCCCCTCCCCTGTTCATGCTCTCTCTCTCTCTCTCCCTTTCCCTAAAATAAATAAATACATCTTAAAACAACAAAAAAACCCAACAAGATGGGGCACCTGGGTGGCTCAGTCAGTTAAGCATTTGATTCTGCTCAGGTCATGATCTCCAGGTCATGAGATTAAGCCCTATGCTGGGCTCCACGCTGGGCATGGAACCTGCTTAAGATTCTCTCTCTTCCTCTCCCTCTGCCCTGCCACCCCCAACATGTGTGTGCTCTCTTTCTCTCTAAAAAAGAAATAAAAATTAAAAAACAAGGTTAAGACTTAACAACAAAAAGTCCAAACAGCATGGTTGACTCTCCTACCTCATTCTCCAACCTGTCTCTTACTATCCACAAATGCACTTCAGGCCTCCTGGCCTGTTCCTCACATAAGCAAAACTATGTATCAGCATCAGCACCTTCACAACCATTGTCCACTGTCTAGAATGCTCTATTTTCCCATGGTTGGCATACCTTGCTCCTTCATCTCTTTTTCTTTTCTTTTCTTTCTTTTTTTTTTTTTAAGATTTTATTTATTTATTTTACAGAGAGAGATCACAAGTAGGCAGAGAGGCAGGCAGAGCGAGAGGGGGAAGCAGGCTCCCTGCTGAGCAGAGAGCCCGATGTGGGGCTTTGATCCCAGGACCCTGAGATCATGACCTAAGCAGAACGCAGAGGCTTAACCCACTGAGCCACCCAGGCACCCCTACCAGCTCCTTTTGCCATCTAGTTGGCAGAAGCAGCAGTCAGAGTTGTAGAGGAGGCAAGCTCTGAATCTGACTGACTGTTAGGGCCAGCTCTGCTCTGGGGTGAACAGTGCTGCAAGGGTAACTTGTATAAATCCTCTTGTTTAAAGGTTCACAGAGTAGTCAGTTCAAATAAAGCTGATCCATTTGTTCAGGGTGGTTTAACAGGGTCATGGGTGACTATCTCAGCTCTTGGAGTAGGGTCTCAGTCATTAGGCAGGCTAGGATAGCTCGCAGTGGTTTGTAGGCTGAGTATGACCCCTCAGTCTCTCCTGCTCTCATCCATCCCTTTGCACCTACCTTTACTCTAAATTCACCTAAATCCGATTAACTGTTGCATCTAATCTACGTCCTAAATCTCTCTGCATCATTATTTTTCCTTTGATTAGGAAGTCTCCTTTTTAATTTTTTTAAAAGATTTTACTTATGACAGAGATCACAAGTAGGCAGAGAGGCAGGCAAAGAGAGAGGGGGAAGCAGGCTCCCTGCTGAGCAGAGAGCCCGACGTGGGGCTCGATCCCATGACCTTGAGATCATGACCTGAGCAGAAAGCAGAGGCTTAACCAACTGAGCCACCCAGGCGCCCCTCCTTTTAAATTTCTTAATTGTCGCAATAAATTTCACTGTTTCCTTATCTAGTTCGCCTGTGAAGGCCACAGTCAAGTATAGTTTACGAAGCATTAAAGCATCCCATGATGAACGCTGCTGGCTAAGTGCTTCAGTTTTGTTCCTAGAGGGTTAGTTCCAACTTCAAAGATCCACGGTTCTAGGGGCGGCTTCTCTGAGTCTTTGGAAGAGGCACCAGACCCGCCAGCCCGGAGCTATCGCGCCGGGTGCCGTTTCGGACTTGTAGGACGTTATCTCAGCCTCCTCTCTGCCGCACATCGGATCGCTGGAGCAAAACGGAAAGCAAGCTGCTGCCACGGGTGTCACGACCCGATCGCGCGTAGCCCCCCGGTCCGGGTGCTGGGGCCAGGTAGGCTCTCTGGTCCCGGGTACCCGGGAGCCCGGGAAGGGGCGGGGCGGCCGTAGGCGGTGGGCGGAGCCTGGCGGCGACCTGGGCCGCCAATAAAATCGCGAGCCGGCGCGGGCCGTGCGCGTGACGCTGCGTAGCGGGCTGCGAGCTTGCGGCGGAGGGGCCGGGGAGCGGGGCGCTTTATCTTCGCAGGCGGTGGGGCTAGCTGCGACGCTAGCTTTGGGCACCGGGAGCGCTCCCCTCAGTGCACCTTTCTGCCGGCCGCGCCGTGACGGCTTCCCGGCTTTGCGGTTCCTGACGAGGTCTCCGCTGTCGGGCTCTGGCCCCAGGTAATGCTCGTGAGGATCCGCTCCTCACTTTCCGCCCGGGTCCCCCCGCCTCAGCCGCAGAGGAAGGGGGAAGAAGTGGCGGCTGCACCTCCGGCCCAGCGGGCCTGGCCTTGCTCTGGGCCAAAGGGTGGGGGAGGCGGCCCGGAGCCGCGAGAGGGGGAGGCTCCGCGAGTCCTGGGGCGTTTGGGGGCTGGGGAGGGCGGGAAAGTTACCGTGGGGCGCCCTTTAAATCTTGGAGGTTTGTTACGTGCGCCCCAGATCCCGTGGCATCTGTCAAGCTGAGAGTAAAGTTATGAATTAGAAGACATTCTGTTGAAAAAGCGAAACCAAAAATGTGCCCAGGAAGTCTAGAATTGATTTGGGGGAAAAGTGTGTCGGGGCAGATGGCGCCTCAAGACATCGAAGGCTGTCTGGGCACCGAAGCCTTGAAACACGCTCATATTTTTAAAATATTAAAGTGCAATTTTTTGTCACTGTTAAATGTTCATAGCCATTCAGTTTCTCTGATAGGTATATTTAGAAGTTATTTGTAACCGAGAAACGACTGTAAACGCTATTTTTCTTATTATGTAGATGAAGTTCACTGGTCACTTTATAAGTCACTGCCATAGTTGAAACTACTTTTTTCAGAGTACCTTCCTTTGGCATAGAATTCAGCTTGAAGAGGTTTTTTCCCCCCTTTGTGTGGGTAATATCAGTGAATGACTTGTTGGGGAAGTTTGTGTGCTCTCTAGGCATGAGAATGCCTTTTGGAAGGAGCTCTGGTATATTCAAGACTAATCACTTAAAAATGCACGCGTCTCGGGGCACCTGGGTGGCTCAGTGGGTTAAAGCCTCTGCCTTCGGCTCAGGTCATGATCCCAGGATTCTGGGATCGAGCCCCGCATCGGGCTCTCTGCTCAGTGGGGAGCCTGCTTCCTCCTCTCTCTCTCTGCCTCCCTCTCTGCCTACTTCTGTCAAATAAATAAATAAAAATCTTTTAAAAAAATGCACGTGTCTCAATGTCTCATATGCTTAGAACTCTTAAAACACTTGACCTTCTCCTAGAATAAAGACCAAAATACTGCTGCCACTCTTCTCCATTTCATTTTGGGCCACTTTCCTTCTGGCTCTCTAGACTCAAGCCACATTTGGTTTTATTTTTGTTCTAAGAAGTCCTCTTCACCATCTCCTGGTCTTTTGGGGTTTCCTCCACCTCTGATGTGCCATTCTCTTTTTTACTCAAATCCAACACATTCCTCAAGTATCACTTCAGGAAACCCAGCCTTATCTCTTTTAAGCCCACCTGGTAGTGTGTGTTCTTTAGCAGCAGGTAATCATCAGTTGTAATGTTTGTTCTCTTTATTTTTCTACTAGCCTGTACCTTTGACGAAGGCTGGGCTAGTGCATCTTTTTTGTGTCTTAATTACCAGAGTCTGGCCAAGCACCTGGCACCAGGAAAGAATGAATGAGTTGGAGAACAGAGGAAAGAACTTGTTTGAATGGAAAATGTTAACAAGGGAGTTAACGAGGAAGGAGTGCCCCTTCCTTTGGGGAAGGAAATGGAAAAAGTTTTTAACAAAAGCCAGTTAACGCCTTTTTTTTTTTTTTTTAAATTTGTCACTTAGAGTAAATAATTATATTGCCCATATAGATGTGAATGAGATCTTGGGTTCTTTAGTTTAGCTAAGTGACTTAATCATTTAGTGATATTTAAGTGTTGTAGGGTTGTACTTGGGTTAAGCCTTTGTTGGGAAGGGAAGGGGGGGAACTTTATTTTTGGAATTGTAAATATATCTGCAATTGTTCTCTTTTCCTTCACTGAAAGTGGGAGTGACACAGTGAAGTTGGTCCCTGAGAGTTAGTTGGTTACTCTCTTTGTTTTATATACGTTCTTTTGAAAGCTTTTTTTTTTTTTTTAAGAGCTTTTTAAAATTTATTTGACAGAGAGAGAGCACGCACAAAGCAGTGGGGTGGGGAACGGCAGGCAGAGGGAGAAGCAGGCTCCCTGCTGGGAGCTCCCTGTTGGGACTGGGTCCCCAACACCCTGGGATCATGAGATGAAGGCAGATGTTTATGGACTGAGCCACCCAGGCATCCCTGAAAGCTTGCTTGCTTGCTTATTTATCTATTTTTTTTCTTTTTTTTTTTTTATTTGATAGATCACAAGTAGGCAGAGAGGCAGGCAGAGACAGGAGGAGGAGGCAGGCTCCCCGCTGAGCAGAGAGCCCGATGCGGGAGTCGATCCCAGGACCCCGAGATCATGACCTGAGCTGAAGGCAGAGGCTTTAAACACTGAGCCACCCAGGCGCCCCTATTTATCTTTTTTTTTTATTTGGGATAGAGAATGAGAGAGAGCACAAACGTAGGGGAGGTCAGAAAGAGAGGCGGACTCCCTGCTGAGCAACTTCCTTCGACTCAAGCATTGTGACCTGAAGGTCATTTAACCAGCTGAGCCACCCAGGCACCCCTGAAAGCTTTTTTAACAGGTACACTGCATGCAGGCCAAAGTTGACATTCAGTTGACAAATCAGTTTTGTGTTGCTTCCTTTTTTTTTTTTTTTTTAAAGGATTTTATTTATTGGGGCGCCTGTGTGCCTCAGGGGTTTAAGCCTCTGCCTTGGCTCAGGTCATGATCTCAGAGTCCCATATCGGGCGCTCTGCCCAGCGGGGAGCCGGCTTCCTCCTCCTGTCTCTCTCTGCCTGCCTTTCTTCCTATTTGTGGTCTCTCTGTCAGATAAATAGATAAAAATCTTTAAAAAAATCTATGCAAAAAAAAAAGAGATTCTATTTATTTGAGAGAGAGAGAGAAAGAGAGAGAGAGAGGCTTGCATAAGCAGGGGGAGGGGCAGAGAGGGAGAAGCAGGCTCCCCGATGAGCAGGGATCCTGATTCAAATGCTGGCATGACCCAGGATACTGGGATCAGGAGGGTAGCTGGAGGCAAATGCTTAACGAATGAATGGACTTGAGCCACCCAGGGCCCCTTATGTTGCTTTCTTAAGGCAAATAGATATTGTCACACTGAACATGACAGAACCAATGCATAGATTGTAATCTTTGTATGTTGTATTTTAAAATAGCTCTCTGATCAGATTTATGTCACCTTGAGTGAAAATGTTTCCATTGCCACTTACTGGCTGTGTGACTTTGGACAGGCTTTATAGTGTTTCTGAATCTTTTGCGTCTTTTAAAATGCAAATGTTAAATGCGATCCGTTGTGCACATGCCCTTTTCCCCAGTACTGTAAATGTTACTGGATTAGTAAACATGAGTTCCTGCTTCCTTTATTGCTAGACCTTCTGAGAGACTGGTCTTATGATCACTGTTTTTACTTCCTCAACTCATTTTGCAACCCAGTCCAATATATTTCTTTGTCCTTCTTCCTGAAACAGATTGTACAAGTAAAGTAAATTGTAGCTATTAATGTCCCCAAATTGTGAAATATTCTAGGTCCCACCTCCTGTTTTAGTTTTCTCCTTCCTTTTTTTTTTTTTGTCTAACTTGAATTTTCCATGATATTGATCAGATTAGTTCTTGAATCTTTTAACTGGCTTTATGACATTGCTTGCTCATAGTTTTCCTCTAATCTCTCCTAGGCCTTGGGTTTTCACTGTTGTTTAAGTGCCTTGTACTATTGGGAAAATTACTTAACCTCTAATATGGGAAGATAGTATCTACTGCATAGGTTGTTGTGAGAATTGAATGAGCCATAGTATTTACTAGGGAAATGTTAGCTTTATTATTTCCTAGCTATTTCTTGATTTATGGTCTCTCCCTAGGAGATTTCCTTCCTGTGCCTTGGCCTTAGTGGACACTGATGTGTCCAAATCTTTGTCTTTAGTCCAGACTTGCACATTCACCTGTCTGCTTTTTCATTATCACTTGGCTGACCCACAGACACATCAGACTGAACTTAACCTATTCCTTGAACTTACCTATTCCTTTTTCCATCTGTAGTTACTTAGCTTGATGGCACACCCATAACCTTTGTCAACTAAGGTTTCTAACAGAGTTCGAAAACTCTGGATCTGTATTTCCAAATGCCTCTGGATATAGCCACCTGGATATCCTAGACACCTCAACCTAATGCTTGTAAATTTATCTCCCTTACCTCTAATTTGTTCGTGAAATCATTTGTTCATTTAATAATTACATGCCATTTGAGCCCTATTTCAGGTCCTTTTGTGCGTGTGTGCTAATTGTCCTTGCCATTCTCTCATTCTCCACATTGTTGCCTCAATTATCTTACTAAAAGACAAATATCAAGTCACCCTCTTGTTTATTTTTTCTATATTTTATAAAGTTTTTTTTTAAGGGAGCACCTGGGTGGCTCAGTGGGTTAAGCCTCTGCCTTAGGCTCAGATCATGATCTCGGGGTCCTGGGATCTAGTCCAGCATGGAACTCTCCGCTCAGCAGGGAGCCTGTTCCTCCTCTCTCTCTTCCTGCCTCTCTGCCTGCTTGTGATCTCTGTCTGTCAAATAAATAAATTCTTTAAAAAAAAAAAAAAAAAGTTTGTTTATTTATTTATTTATTTATTTTTTTTACGTAATCTCAGCACCCAACGTGGAGCTCGAGCTCACAACCCCAAGATCAAGAGTATGATCAAGATCAAGGACTGAAAAAAAAATAAAAATAAAAAATCAAGGACTGAACCTGCCAGGCGCCCCTGTCCTCTTGTTTTTTAAACTCTGCAGCTCCCTGTTTGTGTGAAGTTGCAAATATCTTCTAATCAGTTCCGAGGGTCCTTGACCTTTTGTCATGCCCTTCCGTGTATCCTGTGGAATTCGTGTTCCTTCTCTGTTAAGATTTAACCTAGATTTTACTTTATTTAGGAAACCTTTCCTAGGCACCAGTCTTGTAATTCCTTAATACCCTGTACATCTCAGTTATAGTTCCGTAATACCAATTTCAGCTCTCATGTTAAAATTATGTTTTTGTCTTTTACCCACTAGAATTTCACTCTTCGAGGGCAAAGGCTGTTATGTAGTCATTTTTGTATCCCAGGGCTTGGTACTGTAG